AGCGTTTTCTGAATGCCAAAATGCCCTTGCACACGCGAGGTATGTGCTTCCCGAATCCACTGCAACCTATCACCATCCTCCGGAATGCATAGTGATGCCCCACGATACAATAAGCCATCATCTCCAAGTGCATACTCCCCCCTTCGACCAGCCTTCACCTGCTCAAACACACTACCGAAGTCTCTACTGGATGCATACAACTGAACATACTCAAAAGGAACCAAGGGCTGAATACGCGTCGCCACCAACAACGACCTTATCGGTGGGCGAGATAACATATCGGCCAACTTGTTCGTCGCCCCCTTCTTGTACCTAATAATGATGTTGAAAGCCATCAAATAAGACATCCACTTCATGTGCCGCGCCTGCTGTAGCTTCGTCTGGGAATGTAAGAACTCCAACGGCTTATGATCCGAATGCACGACCACCTCCTTCCCTAACAAGTACACCCTCCAATGCTTAATTGCTTGATATAGCGCATAGAACTCCTTGTCGTAGGTTTGGTAGTTCGCAACAGCACCCGAAAACTTTTCAGAATGGTATTCCACCGGTTTCCCATCCTGAATCAACACCGCGCCCATCGCATAATTAGACGCGTCGGTCTCTACCTCGAAAGTCCGCTGCAAATTCGGCAACGCCAACACTGGTGCCTCCGAGATCTTCCTTTTTAGCAACTGAAAAGCCTCCTCATGCGTCCTTCCCCACTCAAACTGAACTTTAGCCTTTGTGAGGCCATGTAACGGTGCCGCATAAGTCGAAAAATGTCGAATGAACTTGCGCAAATACTGGCAAGCTCCCATGAAGCTCCTCACCTCAGTCACTGTCTTCGGCGTCGGCCACTTTATGATCACCTCCACCTTACCTGGATCTATCCTCCGCTGGCCCTTCCCTACGATGAAGCCGAGATATACCAACTCGTCCTTCCCGAACTCGCACTTTTTCCCGTTGAGCTTCAGCTGTCCGTCCTGCAACACTTCAAATACCTTCTCAACATGAACAAGATGCTCCTCCCAGGTCCTGCTGTACACCAAGATATCATCAAGGTAAACTATCACAAAATCCTCTATAAAGGGTCGCAACAAATCATTCATAAGCCTCATAAAGGTAGCCGGAGCATTGCACAATCCAAACGGCATCACCAACCACTCGAACAGGCCTTGCTTGGTCTTGAACGCAGTCTTCCAAGTGTCTTCCTCCCGAATCCTCACCTGATGGTAACCAGACTTCAAATCCAGCTTCGTGAAAAACCTCGCTCCCTCCAACTGGTCCATAAGATCATCGATCCGCGGTAATGGGTAGCGATTCTTGATTGTGATCTTGTTGAGTGCCCGATAATCTACGCACATGCGCCAACCTCCATCCTTTTTGGGCACCAACAACACTGGTGACCCGCAAGGCGAACAACTTGGCACAATCACTCCTGTCTCCAAGAGCTCCTGAACTTGCTTCTTGATCTCCTCGGACTCTAGTACTGATGTGCGGTATAGGCCTATGTTAGGTAAGGAACTCTCCCCTGTCAACATAATCTCATGCTCTACACCTCGACGTGGTGGTAGTCCCGTGATCTCCGAAAACAAGTCCGCATACTTTGCTTTTAACCTTTCAAGATCTCCCTCCTGAAGCTTGCTCAAGGCGGACAAGCACATCCTACTCAGCTGCTCTTCATACGGTCGAATGAACAATAAAACGAACTTCCTGCCCGTATTCACCAACCTCTTAGCCTGAGTCACCGTCACCAAGCTCGTCTCCTGTGGAAGAGACGCCGAACGAAAAACGAATTGTTCGCCATCCTTGGTGAACGTATACTTTTGGGATCGCCGATCATATACTGCGTATCTATCCCACAAATAAGGATTGCCCAAAATAACTTGGCAAACATCTAACGGAACCACGTCTCATGTGACCTCGTCAATATACGACTCGTGGAGTGCAAATCTGAATGAACACTGGTTCACTACACTCAATCCCGCCTCCTTCTGAATCCACCCTAATGGATAGGGCTTTGGATGCTTCACCGTCTTCAATCCCAGCTTCTGTACTAATGCCTCAGATATCAGATTTTTCTGACTCCCTGGATCAACAATAGCATCCACTAAGCTGGTCTTGACCTGCAATTTCAGAACAAAGAGCTGCTCCCTCGGGTCGTCATCTTCCTTGGTAGCCTGCTTCCCCGCCATAAGGTTGAAACTGCTATTGGGTTCGGTCATCCCGGGAACCTCCTTCGGGCCCTGTGCTATCACGTACGCCTTCTTCTCCTCCTTCTTCTTCAATCCTTTAGGCTTCAGATGAGGATACTTATCCCAGCAACGATCGGCCACATGTCCTGTCTGCTTGCAGTGATTGCATATCAATCATGCTTTCCCCGAGTCAACCTTCTTCTTCTCATCCTTAGACTGAGAGCCACCCGTCTTGCTCCCCGATGGTTTGGAATCCCCCTTTGTCTCATTGCCCTTCTTCTGCCTGCCCTCAATGGCAATGGCCTTCATGCTCGCCTCTGCGATTGTCTCCACTGAAAACAGCTTCATCTCCTTCCGGATGTATTCATTCAGACCCGCCATGTACTTCATAAAGATGGGATACTCGTCTGTTGCGATGTTTAGAACCATCGCCTGCTGTTGGAACTCCGTCGTATACTCCTGAACGGTCTGATTAAACTTTTGGCGCAAGCCATACCACTTGTACCAACGCTCCTCAAGGAACCCTACTGGATAGAACTGTTTACGAAGTAGTTCCTTGAACTTGTTCCACGACGCCGCTTTCCTCTCCTGTTTGCAATAGGATTTCCACCACGTCAACGCGTGCCCGGAAAGCTTCAGTGTCGCGAACACTATCTTCTCCTTGGACGAATATCCGTAGAGAGTGAAGTACATCTCCATACGTTCGATCCAATCATCAAGCTTCTCCACGTTGATACTCCCATCATAAACAGGAATCTCAACCTTGAAGTCAATCTTCAGATTTTGATAATTGTTCTTACCCCTTTGATGTCCAGCAGTCTTGACAATCTCAGACTCCCCCTCTGAATCAGATTCCTCGTGTTCCTCGTCGGATTCGACGAGTTTCTTCTTGCCCTTCAAAGAAGATTCCTCCTTTTTGTCACCTCCGTTGATTAGACCCACGAGTTGGGTAAGAGTCGTCCCGATCGTCTCAATCTGTCTCTCCATGGCATCAAGTCTCGCTGAATTATCTGCTTCAGTCATCTTCTCCTTCCTTAATTTCTGGACTCTCTCCAAAGAAATAAGGATCTCGCCAAGCTTCTTGTACTGTGAGCGAGTAAGGACCATACACAGGTTCCCCCTTCACAGGATCTAGGTTCTCTGATACCAACTTGATACGAGTTGCCGTGCGAGCACTCTTGATCGCGGAATTATCAAGAGTGGGTAAAGAAGAAGAACGACAGAAGAACACAAGAGTTGAATTAGGGCGAAGGAAAATACCTTCTCTAGATTATGAGAATCAATTGGATTTTACAAATCTCTCTCTCACAATCTCTCTAGATCAAAGAACAACCTCCCTGATCTCTTTTCTGATTACAAACTGAGTTCTATACCCTAGAAAAGTCGTGTTTCTATTTATACTAAACAGAAATCCCAACTGGAGCAGGAAACAGACCCAGGCCCGGATCCGCGACGCGGTCGACCGCAGTGCCCAAGTCGGTCGACCGGTCAGAACGACGAAATCTGGAAAATCGATTACAGGGTTCTCCGGTCGACCGCAGTGCCACCATCGGTCGACCGATCTCAGTCCCGAGACACAGTTGGGGTCCGTGCACGATGCGGTCGACCGTCGTGACCACGCCGGTCGACCGGACAGAGCCCAACTGTAATTTCTGCAGTTTTGATGAATCCTTTCGACTTCGTTGCTTCCAATGGCCTCGTCCACGACTCCTCTACTCTATTCTCAAGATACCATGAGAATCATCTATCCTCAAGCTCCCATGAGGATCGCTAAGCTCCCGAAGAGAAGATACACCCGTATCAGATATATCACCAAAATTGTCAAGAAACTATGAAGGATACTTAGACCATATCATTTTGTCCCAAGCTTTGTAAAATGATATATCGGGGGATATATTAGGCTATGTCGAGGATATTTAAAACAATTCATATGTTGCATTTTATTTTTTGTGTCTATATGGAAAAATCTTTATGTTTTTTAATGCTAGTCAAAATTTGCATACTTTTCTTTTGTTGATGCACTGTATATAGTATATCATTTAGCTACTTATTATACTCATAACTTACTTTTTTTTTTGCACTTTTCCCTATTCATCCCAAATTAACATTAACTCTCTGCTATTAATACATTTTTATCCATATTTCATTTAACGCACTTCCTTTAATTTCATGTTAAAGAATAGTAATTTCAACAAAAAATTTGAGGGATTTAAGAATGAAATCAAGCAGTTGATTAAGGAATCTACTGATCCAATGATTAGACTTGAACTCGTTGATTTGACCTGATGGCTTGGATTATCTTAAAGTCCCTAACTATTACACTAAAACTCTAAAGTTATGATAAGGATTAAGGGTTATATTTTTATGTTCTATTTTGTTCCTTCAAGCATAATTTTTTATTGGCCGAAACCTAGACTCGCGCAACATGACAAAATTTTTTAAAATCCATATAAAACGTGGCTGGGGAAATTTGAACCTAGATTGCTTTGATGTCATCTTAGAGTCCCTATAACTTTTGCACTAAAACTCTAAACTTGTGGTGAGAATTGAGAGTTATAGTTTAATGTTCTAATAGATTGGCTTACCATTTCGGAAATGAGATTGGGATTGAGATACTCCAAGTCTATGTTGATGGATTCAAATCTTCACATGGATAGAAGTCGAAACACGCAACAACCTTTGATCCAAAATGTCTCATGGGCTAGTCCGTCGCTCTATTTTTTATGGAAGTCCTAACCCTTTGTTCTTATATTTTATGGAAGTCCTAACCCTCTGTTCTTATGCAATAAATTAGTTGACTCCGTACCTCTTATAACTCTATAGGTCAATTGCATTGAATCCTAGAATTGTGAAGCTGGAGCAGCAAATGAGGCAATTAAACCCCAGAATTGTGAAGCTCGAGCAACAAATGAGGCAATTGAACTCCATAATTTTGAAGTTGGTGCAACAAACTCAACAATTGTGAAGCAGAAGCAACAAATGAGGTGATTTAAACACTAGAATTGTTAAGCTGGAGCAACAAATAAGACAATTGAACCATAGAATTGGGAAGCTGGAGCAACAAATGCGGCGATTGAAGCTCAAAACTGTGATGCTAGGAGAAACAACTAAAATCAACCAGGAATGTGTAAATTCTGAAATACATTTCAGCCATCTAATGCTATAACTTATTTTTGTTGTGAGAACCCAATCCAACCCCTCGCCCTTCATGCTCGTCGAGTTTGTTGTGAGAACCCAGTGCAAGCACTCACCCTTCATGCTTATCAAGGAGGAGGAAAGGAGAGGGAACTTCGAATGTGAAAGAAGTTGAATTGTAGAGAATGCCCTTGGATGAGGTATATTGGATATTTTATGTTGTCAAATTTTAATGTTAATTTGGTTTTTTGTTGTAAAAGTAGCTCGGTACATGCAATTACATGTGCAAAAAACATTACAACTTATATTTTGGACATTTTACATATAAAAAATAGAGCAACCATTAAAAATAAAAAAGGTATTATTTTATTGTATTTCTCTCTTGTTTTAATTTTAAATTATGATTTTATTAGTTTTATTCTCAATTTCATTGCATCTTTTATTAATATTTTAAGAGTTCTTTTGTTTGCTCAATAGCATATTTTAAAATAATTATGTCCTACACTATATATTAAAGATAATTCGTACGCAAGTAAAGAGTTCTTGAATAATAGTATATAATAAATAAACTTTCTAAATCTTTTAGATTGTAAATTGTAATGGTTACTAAATTTAAAAGTATATCATTTATTTCGTTAGTTTTAAGGTTTATAAAAATATATATCTTTAATTTAAATGTGTTTGCTTGGAAAATAAACAAGAAGAACATTACTTAGTGAGTCGGCAAAAAATATATCTTTAAAATTAGATAACAATTAAGGTTTTTAGGATTAATAGGCTAGAAACATATTTACATTTTCATACTAATATTTGTAAGAAATTTGGTACTTGAAATCGATTTAGTAAAATATATTTTATAATCAAATGGTTTATGATTTTCTATTTCTACGTTTAGTAGCTTAAAAGCATTTTAATACTCTAAGTGGGTTCTCTTTTTTGTAATTTTTATTTTCAAAGAGGATCTAAAGGCTCGCATGAAACGAGAGAACTTGAAATAACATGTAAACAATAAAATTACCAAACTACCCCTTGTCTATTTCCTAGGAATAGATCCACGTTTCTAAATTTTTGTTACTACCTTTTGTTGGTTCATTATAGAGTAGAATAGATGTCACTATTAAAGTTTTTGTGTTTCTTTTGCTAAAAGACCAATTTGGTCCTGTACTGGAGCTTCATACTTAAATTAGTTCTCGTACTTTATATTTTTTTTCACTTAATCTTTGTCTCGGGCTTCATACTCAAATTGGTCTTCCTACTTTATTTTTTTCTCGACTCCCCCATCCTATTAGGGCTTCATACTCAAATTAATGCCCCTCTTTTATTTAAACTTTTTAGTATTTTGCAATAAACTCCTAATAACTCTCAACGTCACACTGAGTCCCCCTAGAATTTTCAAAAGTCATATTGAACCTTCAACAGTTTTCAAAATCACACTAAATCTCCTAGTAACTTCCAAAATCACACTAAACACCTAATACAATTTGCAGAAACCCCCAAAATTAACGTTGTTACATCTGACGTGGCACATGTAACCTACGTGATTTAAAAAGATCAAAACACCTATTAAATTATTTAAAACTCTTTTATGACCCTTTTATATTTTTAATCTTGAAAAATAGAAATCTCTAATTTTTTTGTTATTTGTTTTCATCTTGCTTGCTAAGGTTAGCGTCAGGAACCCTAATTTTTTCTGTTGCTGAAAATTGCCCTTTAAATTGCCTTTTTATGTTGTTTGTTGGTTCTAATTTATGGAAGCATATCCCCAAAATGTTGGGAATTTTTCGCAATTCTAAAATTTATAGGGCGTTTAGTGTAACTTGGAAGTTATTGATAATTTAGTGTGATTTTGAAAGCTAATGGCAGTGTTTTGAAAGTTCTTAGAGTGATTAATGTGATATTGTAAGCTGTTTGGAGTTTATTGAAAAATGATGAAATTCAAAATAGAGTAGAGGACCAATTTGACTATGAAGCCTAAGATCAGGGATTAAGTTAAGGAAAGGGTGGCACTAGGGGCACACCCTCAACCACACCTCCAACCACACCCTCTCTCATTTGCTACAGTGCACCGGACCCCACATGTGATTTTAAAATTTTAAAATCACATGTGGGGCCCGGTACACTGTAGCAAATGAGAGGAGGGGTGTGGTTGGAGGTGTGGTTGGGGGTGTGCCCCTATCATTTTCCTTAAGGAAAAATGTAGGGGGAATCAATTTAGGTATGAAGCCTCAGTATAAAGATCAAGTTGAGAAAAATAAAATATAAGGACCAATTTGAGTGTAAAGCCGGTATGAAGCCTCAGTATAAAGATCAAGTTGAGAAAAATAAAATATAAGGACCAATTTGAGTGTAAAGCCCCACTATGGGAACCAAATTGGTCTTTTAGGCTTCTTTATTGTGCGTGTGACCAATTTGAGTGTAAAGCCCCACTATGGGAACCAAATTGGTCTTTTAGGCTTCTTTATTGTGCGTGTTTTTTTTTTTTTTTTGATATTAGTCTTCTAAATCTTTACTATTTTGAGATGAATCCCTCAAATCATTGTAATAACTATTACGTCTCCCATTCTTAGAGTTTGTTTCAAGTAGTTCTCTAATGAAGAGTAGTAGTAGCAAGATATAATAATTGGGGGATCAATAGAAACTTTAATGATTTGAGGTACTAATTTCAATATACTAAAGATTTAAGCGACTAAGACATAAAAAATATTTTTTTTCAACTTTTTTTTATTTTCTTGATTTTTGAGCTGGTCATTTTATGATGAAATCATTTTTTCATCAATGAAAAATATCTTTATTCATTCACCAAATATGAAATAAGTGTACATCAAGATAACCCGGCCAATACTGAGAATCATCTCATCAGAGAACAAAGTTACAAGCTCAACGAACTTACAAACTTATCATCCAATTCATACAATCAAGATGCTTACGAGGATTAAGCGCATTCATCATCAAAGATACCATAATATTCTTCATAGTTTGCTCCACAATTTTAGCTTGCTGTGCAAATATCATTCTATTCCTTCCGCTTCGAATTGCATAGACCTCCATCTGAACTTCATCCACTCCATGACAATATTCCAGACTTGCGTAGAATGGGCACAAGCAAAGAAAATATGTGAATGACTTTCATTTACATTATTACCGTATAGAGCACAACGGTTTGCATCTAACATCCCCAACCTACACAAATTTAACTTGCAGAGTTAGGGGTTTACCTTGAATTGCTACCTAGAGTATAATAGAATGTTTAGGGTAATTGAACATCCCATACTATTTTGTACCCCGGAACAGAGACGGAAACATGGGAGAATCATCTGATATAGAGCAGATAGCGGAATTTTATCACCGGAATAGCACGTCTGAAGGCTTCGAATTAGGTTGTCTATTCCACCACAATGTACAATAGTTTGGTCCCTAACACTTAAAAGTTATTTCCATATCCAAGAGTCACCAACTAATTTCATATTAATGCTCCATTAATTATCAGTATTCTTTAGACATGCGCCATGTATTCATTTTATCCAAGTGAGCTTTTTATTGAGATGGATATACTAAATGTGCCTCAAAGCTGCATCAAAACTCTAGATTTTACTAAGTAGATCCCAAGCCATCATGTTTATGATCGCAACGAACATTCTCCCATGAAACCAAAACTATTTTGCTAGAATCAGGACTTCTCCCTCTCAGAAGTTTCCTACATAATTCATCAATCTTTTCAAGAACTCTCTTAGATGATATAATTATTTCGAAGAAACTTAAGCCCTCATAATAGCACTTCTTAATTATCAGTCGAATCCTCTCTAAATATGGACATTTTTAAATTACTTTTTTATAAATTGAAAAAATTATTAAATTCTTTTATAGTTTTAAAATATATTTTAAAAAATAGATTGTTATAAATTTATACTTGTTGACTACTTTGCAACTATAATTCATATTCCCTTTAAAAGTGGGATCTAGGGTAAAACTTTCTAAGGTCAATATTATCCTTGACCTATTTTTGATATTACATAATGATCCCTTAAATTTATTAAATTAAAACTTTTTTCCACTCAAGATTCAAGTTGCAAATGCAGATTTCTGAAGCTTTATCCTTTTGAATTTATGCATAATTAATCCTCATCATAAATAAAACCCTTGGCATCCTACCCACTTACTACCATTAAATTCTCTCATCAATCCCCGAATGATACCATGGTGTTTTACTTATTTCCATGGTGTTTTTGCCAAAAACAAAACACAATGCGTTTAGAAACCATTGTGTTTTTTAAGCTAAATCATCCTCAAACTAAAAACACAACACTTATTTCAAAACACCTAAAAAGTTGTTTTAAATTTGGTGAATTGGTATTGAGTTTGAGAGGGTGTTAATATAATATCTAACATAAAATATTAAATATAATTAATATAGAGTTATTATCAACATGCTTATTATATTATACTATACTATACTATATTATAGTTAATTTAATATATTAGTAAATATCTATTTAATAATATAAAAATATAATATAAATATAATTACTTATAGTAATATAATAACATATTAAATACCAATTATTTAATATAAATTATGTTCAATCATATTTAAAATAAATAAATAAATATAAAAGTATAAAAAACTAATAAAAACACTTTAGACTAATAAATATAATATAATAATGATATAATAATAACTAATACGTAGTATAATCGCGCTATAATTTATTAACTTTTAATAAAATAACTATAATAAATTTAATATTAAAATATTATATATAGTAACAATTTAATATAAGCATAACATATAATAAAATATTATAATATCATATGGTATAAGTAAATGTAATATATATATAAAATAATTAATATATCTACGTAAAAATAAACATAATTTATTAAAAGTAAATAGTTTAATATAAAATAATTTTATCTGCTAAAAAATGTTAATGTGAAAATAATGTTTGTCTAATACAATAATATTTATTTAATCATAAATACATAATATATATTACTAAGTAGACATTATAAACTGCTCACATATAAAAAGCTATAATATATTGATATAATAATTAAAAATTTATAATGATGTAATGTTGTTAATGAACATACGTAGTAATAACGTAATATTAAGCATTATTAATAATAGTATAATATTATATTAATAATAGTATAATATTATATAAATAATAAAACAACATTATTATAAAAATATTAATATAATATACAACAACAACAAATTGATATACCAAAATAATTAAATATATAATTATTTGAAAA